GCGCAGTGGAGCTCGTTCTGCTCTCGTGGCCTCAAACGAACATTCCATGCTCAGCCCCCAAGAATCAGAGCCTCCTTTTTTCCTGAAAACCATCTGAGAGCTGTTCAGCAGAGCATTTGTAGAGTGATTCCCCGGAATTGCGCTGCCAAGATGCTTCATACGCTTCAATGATTCATCACAGAAATTCGTGTTACGCTCCTGGCAAAGAACTGAGAAAACAAAGTTGTCCCAAAAATGCTTTGATTAGACTTGACCACACCCCTTTTAAGGCTCCGATTTGAACACGCCAAATCAGGGCTCCCCCAAACCAAAGAAAAGTAGGCCCATGTTGGCAAGAAGAGTTGTGCGGCTTGGCTTGAACGCAGATGTGAAAGCTTGCGATTCGAGCATTGCGAAAGAGGGCCCAGTTGCAGGGTACCGTGTTCAAAACAGATGCCGGCTACGCTAGTCGAACTTTGTTGATGTCGGCATGCGAGAATGTTCTTACCACATGTCAAGCAGGCATGTGAGCCAAAAAAGATGGAAGGCTCCGAATTGAACACGCCATGGGGGGGGCTCAACTACCCATGTTTAAAACAGACCCTGGGGCATGTGACAACAAATTCTCCTTGGAAGGCTCCATTTTGAACACGCCGAATGAGTGCTCCCCAACCCAAGTGCACAACAAGTTGACCCTAATAGTTAGTTGCTCAGCTAGGGCTCCGTTTTGGACACGGTTTTCCTGGGCTGGGGGCGAGATGGCACTCTCATGGCCAAACATGATTTTACGAGATAAGTTTCCCCGACATCAACGGGCCTCTAGCACGTTAAAAGCGTGGAGAGTTCCTGTTTTCTCGCCGTCCCGGAGCTTGCGAAGGATCCTCTTGACTGCGCGGCGTCTCGCTGACGACATTGGGCCGCTGTGGTAGTCGGGCACTCCTCGGAATGCGTGCTCGCGCGACCCACCCTAACATTAATCCAGTGTCACATCATGAGCTATAAATGGAGTCAGTCGAATAACAAGCTGCGAGTGCCAGTTTGCCTACCGACATGAGCAGAAACGGGTCATCCGCAACACCTTCCGAACCACACTAGCACAAGAACGCTGCAATCCCAGATATTTAAATTTCAGGTAACCCGCAGCCCGCAACAGATTGCAATCTGCAGCTTTGTCTCGGGGAGAGTAGCGCAATTTGCGGAACTCGCATGCCCAGTACTCACAATCGTCCAATGTGAAGGAGATGCCAAATCGACGCAGCTCCCGCTGGAAGGCGGGCACGGTGCTACACTGACGGTGAAGATACCTGCCAAACAAAGATGGTCCCTTCATGGAAGCCTATGGGCCAGAGTTGTCTGCACATTAGAACCATTATTTTGAACCCGAAAGGCAGAAACGTATTGCAAAACCTTACGAAACCAAACATGCCAAACGTTCGTCAAGCACTCAGGCGCAATGTCACCCTCCTTCCGCATCATTCCTCATCCCTTCGCGAAACACTGTCTACACGTGTCTAGGCTGGTGTTGGATTAGGGTGCTCAAGCATGCTGTCGGTACTTTGTTGGGCAGTCTTGCGCGCCTGCACAAAATCTTTCAAAAAGTCTTGTAGAGTCGTCCCCTGCTGTGCGTTTAAGATGCAGTCTCTTGCTGGTGGAGTTGTCCTCTGGGTGGGCTTCAGCCCGTTTTGGCACAAACCCAAGCCTCAGCTGGGCGCGCGAGATCCTGCGGCCAGCCTTGGAGCACCCGACGCCACTGATGAACCTGAAGCCTTCGCGGGCCCGCAAGCCAAGGAAGTGCAAATCCAGATTTACCTGGTATGAAGCAAACTGGTAGGTGGTGCTGTCCAGAAAAGCATCCGCTTGGCTGCGGCCCTTGGCCACCTGCTTCGGGAAACAGCTATCTGGCGCAAGCCCCGCGCTGTTAAACAACAACAAACCGCGTTGACCATCTCTACGCAGCGTGCGGTGCGCAATCCAGCCCTTTTTTCTACTGGATCGACCCCAGTGCTTGGGATTGCGCCTTCTGGTGTTGATGCATGGGATTGCGTGGGTCAGCTGCTGCGTCGATCCCGCATCCGCACAAAGGAAGCAGCGATGCGAATACATGCGAATACTTATGCTAGCGAGGCATTGATGAGGGCCGGATTTTAGACATACTGCCTTTGTTCTGCAGCATGTGCTCTGGAGCCCTTGTGGCTGCTGACAGAAATTCACTTGCAGCTGGTAGATGCTGGTAGGACGAAAGCAGTCATCATCACTCGCTTGCCGGGAACGCACGGAACCTTGCGACAAGCTCCACGGGCTTTCGCCAGTCTTTCGCGAAGTTGCTCCAAAATAGCCCAGCCAACGTCTGGGCTTGCACCATTCCCAACACAGGCAGAGAATCAAGCATGCAAGTAATTGTGCTGCGCATCTTCTGTCTACAAGGAGTGGGGTCAGCAAATATGCAAGTGCACAAGCATGCCCACAAGATGCCAGCGCGGAATTTGTGGGCCTGCGTTTGCTTGGGGTGGGAGGATGATCCTCCTCGCCAAAATGGCACGCATTCTCTCTCACGCAACTTGTGTCCGATGGCCATCACAAACACACACCCCAGCTGCTATGGGCAGCAGGGCCAAAATCCATAGCCTGGTGCAAGAAGTCAGAAACCAAAGAATGCGGGCTGCCCTCAGGCCCCCTATTGCTATGTTTAACTTTGAAAGGGTAAAATGAAAGCCCCGCCAGAAAGCTGGGAGTCAGGCAAATGACATCAGCAATGTTCGATATACTTTCTCAGCCCTGAGTCTGAAGGCTCTCTGGCTGTCGGCGCCTCGCTTTAAGCCTTCAGCCACGCCTCGCCCAAAAACTGCTTCAGCGCCAGCAGCGCCCGGCTCTTAAACTTCTCGCGAGTGATGCCGCGGCCCACAGGCCGGTAGGCCGTTGGCATCGGCGCGTCAGCCAGCAGATTGCCCAGCTTCGCAAGCCAGGGCAAATCGCCACCGCTCCGCCACCGGATTGGCAAGCGCATTGCGGCGCACCTCTCCTGGCAGGGCTGCCCAGCACAAAAAGGCTGGCCACAAAGTACCGATTGCGCTCCCTTCGCAATGTTTTCAGGGAAACTCGAGATTCTCTCTTGATCAGGGCACGACTTTTTTGCAAGTTCCCCACCTTCGTCACCAGCATGAACCGTGCCAGAAAGCACGTCAGGTAGCACGTGCGCCAGTCCAGGTTCTCCAGCGACAGCAGCAACTCACTGGACCCCCTGTCCAAGACGCGGAAGACCTGGGATCAAAACAGTTGGGTTGCCCCATCCCAAAACACAGGTCTGCGTGTACTCACAGGTACTGACTTGTGCAGGTATACTGACTTGTGCCCGACGTTGTGAATATGAGGCCAAGCAAGCCAAACAACCCGCGCCAAGTTCTATGCAAGGCGCGTTGTTGATCTTCTTGTTCTTGAGTCGCTTCTTCACCTCTGCCGGCAGCTCGGGCGACATCCATGGGGTTCCAGCTTGCCGCCCAAGGCGGTGCCGCAGCATGGCGAGCCGGGCCGCGGCTGCAAGGTAGTACTCCCGCACGTAGCGCGCGTCGACCACTGCCTTCGACGGTCGCATCGGTCGCCGCACCGGTGCGCCTGGCACATCTGCTGCTGGCAGCTTACGCTTCCGGGCCAGTCTGATCTCCACCTCAAACTGCTGCTGAAGCTTACGGCTGAACCCCTTTGCGGCCAGCGCTCTCACGCCCAGCTCCTCCCGGGATCTCGCGGTCTGCAACTGCTTCCGCAAACGTTGTGAGGCTACTCTGAGGCGCTGCGCACGTCTGCGAGCTCTCTGTTGATGCCGCACTTTGTTGCTGCCAGCAGACATTGCAAATATGGGAGGCCTATTCGCAAGCCGTAATCCGCTGAGTCTTCATGAGTCTTGTTCATTCGAAATCCTCGCTGCAAGCTTTGGGTCAAAACTAACCGGATGATGGAGCGTGGAGAATCCGTGCAACACAAGATCCGCAAGCCGCATGTCATAATTTCATCCATGTGACGTTCAGGGGCCATTGGCAAGCTGGGAACGACTAAAGCCATGGTTGGCGCATGAAGCCACAATAACACGACGCATGAGCCTTCACAACCAGGGCCTGGCTTCTCAATGTTTTGTTTCCCGTCGCATGTTCATATGCTCATTCATATGCTCGTTCTAGTCCAGGCCCTGGCAACGCAACACACCCCTCAGGCTGCTTCTATTCGCAAAAGCTGATCGACCGACGAACGCTTTCACTCTTGCCAATTCCCCTCGCGCGCGCCTCCCCATCTCATCCAACGCTGCTGCAAGGCCAGGGCCAAATTGCTGCACGCCCCAGGGCCCGGCCCGGCATGTCTAAAGTGATTGCTTCTCGTAGCGCGTTTTAGGGGCTCAGTCCCCACTGCACCGGGCCCTGGCCCGCCACCAAGAAGTAAGGAAAGCAACGGGAGCCCGGGGCCCAAGAAGTAAACAAAGGGCGCTAAAGCTGACTTGCTTGGTCGCTATATTTTGTTCATGCCCAGGCTTTGCCAGTCAACAGGATTGCCAGGCACACCCTTTTTGCCCCAACATATCACGTGCGTAAGGGCGCCGGGAAATCACTGCTTGCCATTTTTTGCCAGTCAGGATGCTTGCCAGGCCAGGTGCAGCCTTTCCACCCGAACATATGCCATTACAATATTACCTGCGTAGGATGGTGCGCAGCAGAATCATGTGCTCAAGTTGAATCCACCCTTTGTGTTACGCAGCATCACTAGCAGCCTTGCGCTGGGAAAGGCGACGGCAAGCGAAGGTCAACAAGTCAGCTTTGCATTGACTTCTTGACATGCCAACTTCATTGGAGACGCCTCTCACTTCTTGCGGCGCTTCAGCTCAGCTTCAATTTCTGACTTTGTCTGGACCTATACTCTGCTCATGCTTCCTAGACCCTGTGACCTTTAGGCCGTCAACATCATCAGTTTACTTGCTGCCAAACGTTGGCTGAAAAGCTGAACGCAAGTGCGGCCAAGCAGCTAAGCTCTTCGTGCTCCACGATTTCAACGAAGCGCCCTTGCGCACACATCCGGAATCCAGGCTGTCCACTGCCTTCTTGACGTCGTGAAGTGTGAGGCGACCGTACTTCAAATGCACCTTCACGGAGCCTGGGGCATGCCGCCTGGGAGAACATTGACCATGTCGCTAGCTTCAAAAGAGGGGGCTGCGTGATTGCAACAAGCGGTGTCAACTGAGCGCCGCACGCGTATTTCATGGATAAAGCTGTAGACAACCCCTGGCCCATTAACTCCGTGATTAAGGTCGCCCTTCCAGAGTGGGGCCTCAGCTTTGCCATGTCTGGAGTCCAGCGTTGCTTTTTTTCTTGTAGCTGCTTCATGAATTTCGGAGCCAACTTCTTCACCACTGCGTGCACTGCGTGGTAGTGCAGATGCCCGCATTTGGCGTTCTTCCGAGCAGGGAACAAATACCCTTGCCCAGGCGGGCTGAACACATCCTTCTTTTGAATGAGCTTTTTCTTTCCCTTTCCGTGCTTGTGTTTCTTGAAGCGGGTGTACATCACACGGCCAGCAAGCATGTCCTTCACATACTGCATGTCTTTCTGCCTAATGTACACGTCTCCCGGCGACTTTTTGTTGCCAACCTCTCCTCCACCAACGCAGAGCTTTGGCACTTCATTTTCTAGATGAAAGTCGGCCCGCCTTAGGCACAGTGCTTCCCCTGTTCTGAGGCCAAATCGCCCGGTAAGCGCCAGCACAACGGCCATGCGAGCTCCGGCGTGCTCACCAACATACTTCTCCCAGGCCAGCCACTGTGTCCTGCTCAAAGCAGGCGCCTGCCCAATCTTTTGTATCGTTTTGAGGGCACCTGCTCCTGCCATGGCGAGGATAGAGACAATAGGCGAAGGCCGGCGATGTGAGCTAAAGCGACCCGCGGGCAACAGCGCATACCACAGAAAAGTGCGAGCAAAGCCGAATATTGAATAGCCTACCCACCTTGCGTGGTTTTAGCTTCAACTCTTCCCCATTGGCACTGAATTCGTTTCCGGAAACAAGGAATCAAGCATTCCCTTGCCTGGCTGCTCAGACCTGGAGTTGTAGCTGTAGCCCGCGCTCGCCCACCACTCGACTCTCCCCCGCCCCCGCGCTCAACTCAGCACTCCCACGCTCGCTCCCCCACGCTCACCCCAGTTGCTCCCGCTCGCCCGCTGCGCTCAACCCCTCGCACTCCCGCGCTTGCTCCTCCGCCAGTCCGCGCTCGCCCCCCGCGCTCAACCCCTCGCACTCCCGCGCTCGCCCCCCGCGCTCACCCCGGTTTCTCGCACTCCCGCGCTCGCCTCCCGCGCTCGCCCGGTTTTTCCCGCGCTCGCCCCCGCGCTCGCCCCCCGCGCTCGCCCCCCGCGCTCGCCCCCCGCGCTCGCCCCCGCGCTCGCCCCCGCGCTCGCCCCCCGCGCTCAACCCCTCGCACTCCCGCGCTCCCCACCAACCTTAAACGCCGGCTGGGTTGAAAATGATTGTGAACTTTCCTTCCATCCATTTCTTGCAGTGGAACATCCAACATTGCGGGCGTCCAAGGGGTTGAGCGCGGAGAGCGAGCGCGGGAAAAGGGCAGCGCGGGGGGCGAGACGCGGGGGGCGAGCGCGGGGGGCGAGCGCGGGGGGCGAGCGCGGGGGGCGAGCGCGGGGGGCGAGCGCGGGGGGCGAGCGCGGGGGGCGAGCGCGGGGGCGAGCGCGGGGGGCGAGCGCGGGGGGCGAGCGCGGGAAAAACCGGGCAAGCGCGGGGTGCGTAGCAGGATTGCCAGGCCTGTCGGAGGAGCAAGTATGCGGTGAAACGAGCAGGCGAGAGCAAGGAGCGGGCGCAAGCAACCAGGGATGTGGGGGGGGCTAAGCGCGTGCGAGATAGGCACGTGTGTCAGGGCAAGTTCAGCGGGGAGTGATCCCAGGAAGCCAAGCTCGAGGCAAGGAGTTGGAGCGCATGGTGGCAACACCCAAGTCCAAACTCTTGGGTTGAAAGTGGTGGGTCCAATGTCAGGGCGCGTGGCGAACGATTGGCGCTCTTACTAATAGTAAGAAGGGCAGAGTAAGCTCGGAAGGGTTGCCTGACTGCCGTTTGGCTTGACAAGGCCAGGAGGCGCCGCCGCGTGGTCCAGGGCATGGCCAAGCGCAAGGCGCGAAGCTTTTTCCATTGCATTGATCATGCGCCAGCTAGCAGTTGGCCGGTGTGCTCCATGAGCGCGTTGCAGATTGGACTTGCGTATGTCTGTTCAAGATGTCTGACGCAACGTGACACTCAGGATGTCGCAGGATGAAGCAGGCAAGACAAGCAGGGTGAAGCAGACAGCAAGTAACACTCATCCGTTTGGTCACAGTTAAGTCACAGCGGGTTGGTGTCGCAGTGAAAATGCATCAACTGTTAACAGATCAACCAACCAATCAATCAATCAGTTAGCCAACCAATCAATCAATCAATCAATCAATCAATCAATCAATCAATCAGTCAGTGAACCAATCAACCAACCAATCAATCAATCAATCAATCAATCAATCAACCAACCAACCAACCAACCAATCAATCAATCAATCTATCAATCAATCAATCAACCAATGAATCAGCACTTGAAATGCCGGACGGGAAAGCAGCGCGGGCAATGAAAGGGTCATTGTCATGGGATCAGACCTACCAAACACTGCAGAGCGTTTTGCTGGCAAGTTTTGATTTGGCGGACAAGGAGATCAACGCCGTTGCAGAGACATGCGCCGACGCGTTATTTGAACAGTTTGATCAGGAGAGCAAGAAGAAGAAGAACAAGGGCAAGAAAACTTACCCAGGCAAAAGCAACTGGACATCTTTCAACGCGAAAAGGGCCGATAAAGACATATCAACAGCGCCTTTGCCTGCCGTTGCGAAGAAGGAGCCGAAGGAGCCAGCGGCGGTGAAGAAGGAGCCACCGGCGGTGAAGAAGGAGCCAGCGGCGGCTGCGGCAAAGTCTTCGGCAAAGTCTTCGGCAAAGGCTTCGGCAAAGGCTTCAGCAAAGGCTTCGGCAAAGGCTTCAGCAAAGGCTTCGGCGGCAAAGGCTTCGGCAAAGCGAAAAGGTGGCGGCCGGTCTCGAGAGGATATGCATTTGAAATCGGTGCGACAAGTTCGGGGAGAGACTGTGGCAGCAAAGATAGAGCCACAAATTCGGGCGCAGTATGCTGCGCAAGAAGAAGCTTTGGCTGTGGGGTGAGCCTTGCTTGATCTGGGTGCGAAAAAAAGACCAACTCTTCAGCAGCCTTGGCTCTTGCTTGCAGTGACAAGGAATCCTCGCTGGCCGGCTAGGCCACGGAGTAGGGGAGCCAGAATGCAAGCTCTGATGCTGATGCTGGCAGGACCGCCTTGCTGGCCGTGCTGATGTTGCTGCTGGGTTTGTGTTTTGATGGTGCTGATGATGCACGGTAGCCCAGCCTTGGCATCGGTTTCATGCCGCGTGGATGGCTGCGCCTGCAATTGTCCAGAAACGCAAGAAAGACAGATTTCAATCGGTCGTCGTCAGCATGTCTTGTGTCACTGCTCTGATGAAATCAAGCGCTTTGTTCATCACACTCTGGCCAATTTGCTCAAAAATGGTCACGGGAACTTGTTAATGGGATTTGCTTAGATAACTTGCTCAAAGAGTCCGCGTAGAGAAAGCTATTCAAAAGCCACGCTGGATGTTGAATTGCAGTGGTGCCATATGCTGTCCATGTATGACGCTTGCAAAACAGCCAATTATGGCCAACTCCAAGGAATAAATTGCGTTTGGAATTGTGGACAGGGATCGTGCGCAAGTGTTCGCGCGTCGCAAGGTCCTGCGTTCCTGCGCAAGCGTTCTGCGGCCAGGACCTGGCCTGGCAGCAACGCCTATTTGTTCAACCAGGCCCGTCATCGGTCACAGTGGTCTTGCGTCCAGCGCATCCACGATGCCATGCCTTTCAAGCGCAAGCTTCCCCGCAATGAAGCTTTATTTCTTTGCAGCGGGCTCGGGCATTCCAGTCCGAAGGCTCATTGCGCACCATGGTGCGGCGTTTGCGGGTCGTGAGCGGCTGCAGCGGGATGTGCACCGACACTTGGGTTTTAAGTTTTCCCTCGCGTGTCCTCCTTGATTTTTTGTTCTGAGAGCATGTGTGGTGTGGCCACACAAGTTGGAGTTGCGAGGAAAGCTTTGCGCTGCGGAGCTTGCGCGTCCGCCACCGCTTGGTGATGGCCTGCGAGAGCGATAAGCGCATGCGGGGCTTCATCAAAGCAAATCACAAGCCGGACCTTCGTTTGGTTTAGCAAGTTGTTTAGCCTTCAACTAGTTAGGGGTGCGGCTTCAGGAAGTTGATGACTTGCTTGGGGCAGAACTTGAGATGACTTGGGGGCCAGGATTTGGTGGCGAAGAACGTGGCAGGCAAAGCGTTTCAGACTCACGGAGATGCCGCTGCATCTTGGGCCAAATTAGTCCGCCACTATGCATGGGTTTGCCCGTTCACGACCTGAACAAATCAATGCTCTCGCGCCTTTGCCCGCTCAGGATTTGCTGGTTGCTGGGTTTCCCTGCCAGCCGTACTCGGGCGCAGGATCCAACAAAGGCACGGCAAGGGGATCGTGCGTCGTAAACAGGTCCACCTCTTGGCAAGGCTTGCCAGTTGAGCTGGGCAGGATGCAAGGACCAGCGCAACGTGTTTCCCTCCATCCAGAAGTGGCTGGCCAAAAAGCGGCCGCGGGCCTTCATCCTGGAGAACGTCAAGAACTTGACGACCGGAAGGCACAAGTGGTTTTTCAGACAGATCATTAACTCCTTGAGAGGGATCAAGGCCCCGGCCAATCGGAAGAAGAGGACCTCGTCCAAAAGGGCCGCCTACTACCATGTCACATACAAGGTCCTGAACTCAAAAGACTTCGGAGTGCCACAGGCCAGACAGCGCTTCATGGTAGAAGGCGGTAGGGCGCTCATTGACCGTTGCTAGGCAAAAGCCGTGTTGGATTTGTCATGTTGCTGAGCCCTGGCCAGAACCGCGAAAGAGTGTACATCGTCGGCATCGCGCGGCGCCACATGTCAACCAAGACCAAGTTCCAGTGGCCATCCCGTGGGAAAAAAACCGCCCTCAAGAAGATCTTGGATTTGCACGACAGGAACCACGTCCCCGTCAAGTTTGACGGAATAACGGCGCAGCACAACCTGGCCACCGCCATCAAGAAGTGGAGCAGGCGTGGAGAGTCAAATGATGGGTAGAAAAGCATGTTTTCTCAAAGCGGGTGGACATGTTCAGCTCCCTGAGAGGTTTTGGGACCGGCGCATCATCGTTGACTTGGGGGCATCGCCGAGCAGGCCGAACTCCAGGAAAGACATCCTGCCCTGCATCACGTCCAGGATTGGAAGCAGCCCTCCTCTGGTCAGTTGTCTCGGAAGGCGGCTGAACAGCAACGAGTTGCTGCGGGCCCAAGGATTCAATCCGAAAAGGACTGAGCACGGGATGCTTTCACGCGCTCAGCTCGGAAAAGCAGTTGGGAATGCTATGACCAAGTCAGTGCTTCAGCGGCTCATCCGCCAGGTGCTGAAGGCAACGGGGCAATATGTTCCCCAGCCTTCCAAAAAGCGGCCAGTGGAAGGCTAACAGCTTTTGGCGTGTTCCGCCAACACCGGTGTGTCTCTCTGATTGCCCGGATGTTCAGCGCAAAGCGGCCAGTGGAAGGCTAACAGCTTTTGGCGCGTTCTGCGAGGAAGGGTGTGTTTCTCTGATTGCACGGATGCTCAGCGCGGGCCAGA